GTAGTGAAGTAGGTACTTCCCTTCTGATAATATAAACTGTTCATACATTTCAGGGTGCAACGTTGCCAAACGTTACGACTGACGCGAAACGCAAGCTCTTGTCGCGACCTCATTCCAAATCATCCCCTCCCTTCGCCATACTCAAAAAAATTCTTTTCGCGTAAACGGGATCCCTGACGTCAATCCACGCTTTGTTTATCTTGACGGGGATAGAAATTCCTTCGATCCTCGCGCGCGGAATCGTTCTGGGCCACCAGAAAATAGAATCGGAAGACTTGGCGCGGAGGTTACGCGTGATCGCGTCTCTCTCTTTTTTTCGGCCCATCGAGGCCGACGTTTATCGCTCGAAGTGGGTCAGAGGCGTCGTTTAAATATTGCTCGATGCTAAAATAAATTCGGAGAACGGAGAAAGAACTCCGTCGCTCTCTCAACGGTGGAATGTCGATGTCAGCAAGGGAAGGGAGGGTGGAGAAGGAAAAAAATAAATTAGAAAATTCGAACACGGGACAAATTCGTTAATGTTTCTGTAGGAGACTTGACCGCTCGTGGTGGACGAAGATGAGGAAAAGATAAGGCGGTTGGGAGGTGTAAGGGAGTAATTCTCCCTTTCCTGCCCTTGGAATTGGTATTTAGATACACCTGTAATGGTGTCGAACGGCTTCGAAGCTCCGCTTGAAGAAACTTGAATAGGATTGAGGGTGATTTTCAGCATCCCTTACGCGAAAGGCAGGCCCAGGTCCGCGGTCGCGGGACAAATTCGTCGAAATTTCGTTCGGGGAGCTACTTGACCGCTCACTCGCGGTAGATCTCGTTACGTTGGGGGTGGTTGAGAGGTATAAGGGACTCGAGGGAGGAACGTTCGTGAGGCGAAAGGAGAATTCTCTTGGTTTGGTTTTTCGTGGGTCGCATATCACTCCCTACCCTCGCGCATGGAACCGCTGCTCTAGGCTAACCCTCTCCACCTTCGCCACCCTACGCCACCCCTACAGGCTGCAATGGCACACGGCATGGCTCCCTTTTCCGGCGAGTGTAGCGTAATGTAAGGGTTGCGCCCGCGTCAGCGGTGTTCGGGGGTGAGAGAGTTTAAAACCCCTCGGGGCTTGAGGTCCAGGGCCGGTTAGATTTATCGGATGTTTTGGTTGGCGGCCATTGTTAGCTGCCCTCTCTCCCACCCCTCTTTCCCTCTTTCAGTGTTCTCTACGGCCAGTGGCGTAGTCGTTTCCGTCCAATAGGAGGGCATTTTTTACTCCTTTTTACACGGTCTCGAATGCCTGTCGAGCGCGCCCCCGGATATCGGGATCGGAATTCCGCGAAGCAATAACGCTAAGAACGCGCCCACTGTGTTTCGCTGCTTTTCTTCCAGGGTTGAAATTTATCGTCGCGTCTCTGGCTCTGGCGGGTGATTTTGGGGGCTGCACGCGAAGAACCAGCCGGAGACGTTTTGTGCACGAGTGGTGCGGCCCAAATTGACCGCTTATTTCAGGTGGTTAACGTTTTGGTCGTTTCTGGGAATTTTTTACCGACTTGAACTTTTATTTAACAGCTACCCTAATTTCTTTTCTAAAATATCAAATAAAATTCTTCCACTACATGCTCGAATTTCCCCATTCCTATTCTGCAGTATCTAACTCCCGAAGGAGTCTCCTTCCTGCAATGGATAAACGATATATATTTGTCGCAGAAAACGTCTGAAAAAAGTTAATGTCGTCGTCGACGCGGAAACTCGATTCTCGACGTATCGGGAGAGTCGAGCGTCGCTTGGAATCCCGGGATTCCTCGACACTCATACATAATCAGCCACGCGGAGCTGTTCCGTCTAGGATCGGCTCTCCCGCGAGGCTGGTTGAACGGCCAACCACGTTTCCGCGTCGAAGAATGTCGATAGCTTTTAAACTACGTGCGTTAAACGCGCGCGCACGCCGCCGTCACGGTTTTTTAACGCCTGTCGACGTTCTCCTTTGCTCCGAAAAGCGAAAATTCAAAGTGTGCACCGAGGAGGCGAGAACTTTTCCATTAGGTTTTTTCCAGCGAGAAGTCCACTCGTGAAAGTTAAATGCTCGAATTCTTGAAAAATAACTGTGAGATTGACGGTGTTGATGAAATTTGATGCACGTGATATAGCTGTATTTTGAAAATTCAAAATAATATAGTTGCGAGCTATCTATAATGTATTATGAAATCATTTCGTGTGCAACAACTCCGAAACCATAGTTTTCAGACAGAGGGTGGAGACGTAAATCGAGGAGGCGACCTATTAACGAACCGCTAGGAAATAGTCATTATTAATAACCAGCGCATCGTGGAACAAAATTTATCCCACGCTTCCGGCCAGTCGTTTAATTCAGTCACCGATATCGGTTGCATTCAAAAACGCGCGCACGAGGGGATGGGTTGTGGAGAGGGTAATCGCGGTCGCAGAGAGACGCGCCGAGGGGAAAGATTATGAACGCATAAATCAAAAATTAGCATTAACGATTCATTATTAACAGTCGAGCTGGCCGGCCGTAGATAAAATTTATCCCCCGTTTCCGTATTTCGATTAATTAATGCGGCTCGCGGTCCTCTTTTAAAAACAACATTAACGCAACGCTGCGCCGCGGAACCGACCGACGATTTACCAAATGGAAAACTCGCGAGAGATACAGGGAATATATAACAACGTTCCGCGAGTAGAAAAATATACGTAAATTATATCAATCAACGGAGGTATTAAGATATTCACGAAAGGAGCACTTTTAAAGGTATTGATATTAAAATTCTTGAGTTGATATTTTTGCTTTTGACACTATTTTTAATCAAGTTAGTAGATAGTAATAATGATTCTTCATTTTATCACGCCATGTCGTTTGTGCTACCCTAAAGGTACCACTGAAATCCAAGAGGTCAATCTATAATTGTTAACCCTCTCACTCGGAGTAGGAGTGAAAATGTAATTAATGTCATTTCTATTTTGAGTATTTTTAAATAATGAAAGTTTCCTGCCGTAAATAACGCTAGATAGCACCGAGTCACGCGAATAATTCATTCATTGTCAAAAAGTGGATTCATGCCTTGGAATTCACGGCTTCAATGCCCGTCACATAATCCACGGATACCCAATGGAACAACAAAGTGACCACCCTCTATTCCTTGAATTTATAGCATTATTTCGAATTTCCTTTTTTCCGAGATGTCAGAACGGGGGAGAAAAAAGGGAGAAGGAAACGTTTCTCCAGAGCGCAGCTCCGTGTCTGCTCCACCTTCTCTTTGCGGATCTGTCGGTGCACGGGTGGAAGGAAGAGGTCCAGATCGGAGCGGAGAACGAAGAGGATGAGGGAGTAGCGAAAGAGGGACAGACGTGTCGGTCCGACAGAGAGTAAGCCGCGGCTGCCATGGTTACCGTCGCATTCCCGCCTCGCCTCGTTGCCATGGAGACGCCTCATGGTCCTCTTCGTTCAACTTTCACAAGCCCTCTGTTCGTCTCACTCCCCCCACCCGGAATGTGCCTCCCTTTTCCTCGCGAAAGCTCCGCTCTGATCCCTCTCTCGCTCTCCTTCCCCTCACTCTCTCTCCCCTCCTTCTGGCCTTCCAACGCGGCGGCTCACAAGCTTCTCTCTACCTCTGGCATTCGCTCATATTCCCTCCGTTCCTTCGAGCGAAGAGGAAGAGAGCAGAGCAAGAGGAACGCGTCAGGCAGAAAAGAGGGAAGCCCGGTGTATGCGCGGGCATGCGCGTCACGCTCCCGTCTTCCACGACGAGAGGCTCGACGTCTACTCGGAATCGTTCGATTAGTTATCGACTGGAAAGTGATTTACGTCCTCTTATCGGTGAGCTCCTTGGCAGCCGCGTAATTTAATTAAAGGAGAAATCGAAGATAGACAGCATCGCGATCGTTTCCGCGAGAATTAGACGGTCATCGATGGATATCGAGAAGGGCCGACCTGCCCGCGGGCCACGCGCAAGAAAAAACCACCGTGAACCTCTTACGGGAAAGCACCGCCAATTGGGCCGAAAGGGATGCTGCATGTTTGATGGAAATGTTACCTAGGTGTATCTAAAAGGCGTACTTTAACCTATGACTCTGATTATTTGATGACTTAACTTTTCAATGATTTTTCGGGATGCTCCACTGATATATCTTTTCGGAGGCTGAGAATACTCGCGCCATAACGCACGACGGCGGAATAGGTGGTACTAGGTATGGACCACGAGGCGGAGGTGTAAGCGGCTTGTTTTATAAGCCCCGATTCTGATTGGCCGTCGCGTCACTCGATATCAATATTTATTCAACGCGGCGAATGCCTGAGGCACGATTAAAACTTGTTTATGCCGCCAACGATCGCGCTCCTCCCACCGGCGGCCGCGCGTGTACTCGCTATGTGCTCGACCTCTTTCTATTTTTTCCTTCGTCCCTTCCCCATTAATTCCCACTGTTCTCGCGCGAACGAGCTTCCTCGCGCGCGATCGACCGTTTACCGATCCTCGTCGATTAATCCATCGTTGCACAATTGTCTTAGAGCGAATTAAACATTAATGGATTGCCACTCTATGCTCCAAAAGACTAGAAAAATTATTTGAAAAATCTACCTCATTATTTTTAACTTTGAGAATTATTTTGTTTATCTACAAAAGCATCCTTTAATCCTTTGGAACACTGTACATGAAGCATTTTTTGACATAGATCGAGGAGTACCATCTTTTGTCAAGGATTAATTTTAATGTGTCTGCTAAAAGCACACCTCAATCCGGATCGAAGAGGACCTATCGAATGGCGAATGTCTACAAATCGCCATGCACGTGCAAAATCGCGAATAACGAGGGGACTCACCGTGTGGACGCGGAAAACGGGCGAAGGCGTCCCGTTTAATTAAGGATAACGTACGAGCGGGCGACATTTAACAGAAGTTTGGTACAAGCGTCGCGGAATGCCCGGCCATATTTCGCGAAGATATTCAATTTTCGTGCGCGGGGACGAGGAAAGTTTCGGTGAGAAGTGAGAAGAGAAGTTACGTGAGACTTACCGGGACTACCGAGGAAGACGGAAGAGTAAAGAACGCCACGACGCGCGTCGCTAGCCGCTCGCTGCGCGTCTGGCGGCGAACTCCATTCCCTACGCGGACACCATTTACCTGAAGCAAAGAAAAACATCGATTCTTCGTTAGATTCCTCGTCGCCATACACAAATAATGCTATAGCCGCAGATTTTTAGCCATAAAAGTAAATAATTTATCATAGACATAGGAGCTTCATTGAAGGTAAGTTCCTCTCGCCAATGTGAATCGAAAAGTCCTTCTCCGCTTTGCAATCCGAAGCTCCGTTATAGAGATATAGGCAGTCAAAGTTTTGGCGCGCCTGAACAAGAGCGCACGCGCAGCTGCGCGGTCAGAATGGCGCGCACTGGGAATCCCGCTAAACTTTAATTATTCGTATTAAGGTAACGAAGCTTTGGACTGTAAAACGCAACAGGACTTGTCGGTTACTTTTCGCAAGATAGAATCTTAGGGTGTAGATAAATTATATAAATCAACTATAATTACATAAAAACAAATATTCATTACAAGTTGCTTGTAAATGCAACAAACACCGACTCCAGCTATCTAAATAAGAATCGTGACCATCTCTGGTCGCCGCATGGACCTTATGGGGACGCTCGCGCGCAGTTTGATCGGGAAAACGATCGAATTTGCATCATAACGGCGGTGAACGATACCGTGGCGAATTGAATGGAGCTCTCGGAGTCGTCCACTCGAGAGCTAATGAAAAACATAAATTCGCGAAAACGGAACCTCGGAGCGTCGGCCTCTGGCCTTTCCACGCGCAAAATTGAACACGGTACACCCGCGCAAAAATGAACGCGTTCCTTCCGCGTAAAATTCCGCGAACTCGGAACAGTTAATACGCGGACGGGCGGCGGATGCATGTGTGCAATGAAAGAATGCAGAAAACGGCCGATACAAAGGGAGCAAAGAATTCGTGATCGTTTGCATCACGACATCGGGACCTGGAAGATCGTATCGCGTGCTGCTCCATATATATCCCGTTACTTCTCTCCTTCTTTTTCGCGAACCGGACGGGGCATGCGATCTTACCCATGCCGCGGCTCGTTCGACCGAGAATAATCACGCAATTATAATAATTAGATAAACGCGCGAGAGAAGCTTGTTGCGTTAAGAGGCAGTACTCGCTCAACGGGTTCGCCGTCGACTGGCCGAGAAAAAACAAAACGAGCCCGCGGGGTGACGCGATAGATGCGAATTCGAGGCGTGATCGCGATACCGCGACCAACGCGCGTATTTCTCAATTAAATGGCACTGATTAATACGCGCGTCGACGTCTGCAGGGATGAAAACACTGTGTTGGAAAGTGGAGTCCATATTTATTAAAACTTACAGATACGTAAATAATATGTTGATTATACTCGGGCCAAACGTACCTAATTCAAATAATAGAGTCACTGCTCCACATTCGAGAATACCCTAATTCGAAGCTTTATTTTACGAAACAGGGACTCTGGAAAATCAATTTCTTATTTTTGGAGCTATCTCATAGTTCGGAAAAGTAATCGAATCCGCGACGTGATTAGCGCATGGGGCCTGACTTATAAGGCGTGCAGGAACCAGGGACTCGCAGCGGAGGTATTGCAATTTTCCAGATGCGAAAATAGGAAAGATATCTACTTTATTTCCAGGGAGATCCCGGCTGAATGAGGATACACGGTAAGAAGGGGTGGCACCGGGGGATAAGAGTAAGCCGCGGAGCGAAGTAATTTCACACGAGAGAGTAAGGTCTTGCCGGGCTAGCAGCGGATCCGACGGAGCTCTATAGTCTTATCTTGGAAATATAGCGACCATCCCCCAACGAAAATTATATTCTTGAAACGCGGAAGATTGCTTCGCTTCCTGCGAGCTCACGACGCGCCATGATATTAGGTGTCCTCCGTGTTCCGCGCGTCGAAACAATGAACGCCTCCTCTGGCAGCCTTAACTAATTATATTTTAAACAACTGCGATGAGAAAACATCGTTAAACCGTGATTAAATGTTGAAGAACTAATAGATTCATAGGATTCAAACACTATTTATATATTATATAAAAATATTATTGTTGAGAAGTTTAGGAAATAGATTCTTTTTTGCAATAATTCTGCATCGATTAAAGAACATTCAAAAGAAGAAGAACATCACCACGAAGGTCTTAGCCAGAAGGCCCAGAAGCTACACTGAAGGCAAATGGTAGCCCAACTCCATATTAACGAAACAATGTAGCATACTTCACAGGTGTTCCCCATCATCCTGTCCAATCCCTCTCCCATAATTATACACAGAGTGTGCCAAACCTCCAAACTTCCAAATGCACGCAGTGGTCATCAAAATAAATACAGGTTTACAGATCAACAGCCTCAGTGTTGCAAGAAGAAGCCTTACTTCACGACAGCCTATACTCAAAGTGTCTCCCTTCCAATTGAATGCACATTCTAATTCCTTGGAATTCATACTAATTAAAAATTCCACGGAACATTAGCTGTCACTTAGAATTCCAAGGACCCGTCCTCTCTGTACACCCTCTGCTCGTCTTAATTAATTACAAATTACTTTTTACGCACGGAAAAACATGGTTGAACCGTGATTTAATGTCGGGGGGCCACGGCTCAAAGGCTAATGGATTTAAAAACGCGGCCGTGTTTCTAATTCCAGGACCTGGCGATGGGGCCCCGTTTAACCGGGACTCCGCGGTTACGGTTGGTCGCGTTAATTCGTGGCCTGGCCAAATGACAGGGCCGAATCGGCGATTCGAAAGTGATGGTTATCCTCGGAGTGGAGGGACAGCTGGATTCGCGTTAACGACGAGGAGATTATGGGATCCGACAACGCCCAAGTCGGAATCGCCAGGAGACGAATTCCTGGGGATACCTAGGCGATATTTTCGAATAATGGAGTCACGGGGAGAGAAACCGAGCATCACTTGGACACGTGGAAACCAACCTTGGAGAAAGGTTCTCCTGGGAGAAAGCATCATTCCTGAGATTCGAATTATTCGAAGGTCAAGATATAGTGGATGACTCATAATTAGATATATTTGCATGGGTCAGATGATGACAGATTTCTTTCTAAAATAACTGGACTCAAATGTGCCTTGGAATTTTTCTTAAAAATTGACACGAACTTTTTACACGATCCAATACATCCTGAACCACTAATTATTGAAATCAGCCAACAACCCCATAATTGGGCCACTATACTCCAGCATGGGACTTCCTCCCACTAGGGGCATTTATTATTGAATTCTCGGGGTCACAATTATTCTTCAAGTCGCCGGAACGGGACTCGTGGATACCTGTGGAATCCTAGCGCGGAGGTGGAGCGGTCGGCGTGAAATTTATAGCCGTTAAAAGACAGGGTGTAATCATACGCGTCACCCCGTCAACCCGAGGACCGTGATTTATCGTGGGAAGTTCGCAAGACGTCCAGGAATTCCCATGTCCACCGTGCCCCGTTGGAATTCCGTTTCGCGGTCGCCGCGACGTCGAAACGCGCCCGTGTCGAGTCGTCGTTGTGCTTTTTGATGCGCCGCGATTATCGTCGTGAGTTATGACGCGCGCGTTAATTGAACGTTGCGCGTCATGCCGCGGATAACGAACGCGGGACGCGAGCCACGGGCGTGTAATTGAATTCGAGGAAACCTCGAGGGTGGAGGGGGGGCTGGAAGGGGGAGGTGGTGCGCGAAAAGCGACGATGCCGAATTCATTGAAATGCTCGGAATCGGCGTCATGAATTATTCCACCTCCCCCCAAACCCCCCTGAAACTTTAATCACGACCGATTCCGTGTTCTGAGGAGGAGCAATCGTCGCATCTGGAAACGAGCATGAGACCCGACTGCGTCTACTGGGCCAACCGTGGGGAGGATTCGTTAAGTGGCGTCAAGTGAGACGTCTCTTTTGAACGATCGTTCTCTGGCTAAATTGCGGGTTAACTTCGGGGTTCGCGTGTTAGCGACAGTCATGCCACGCGGTCGAGTCATGTAGCGGGATGAAATCGGAGAGGAGAGAAGAAACAAGACGGATCGGTGGACCCGAGAGCTTCGGACGATTTGGTCACCGTGTCATACGAAACGGAGAACTCGAGATACGGGGATGATACGAGATCAAATAGCGATGGCTAAGATATTTCCGAGGGCTGGCGATAGGAAACTGTAACACGTATGCCTCGAAGAGTTCAACGAGAATCGTAACTGTGACCAAAGCTCATGACCTAGCTACGACACTGACATTGTTTATAGAGAAGACGATTATCGTCTAACATTATTTCTCATCGGTATCTGGTCCTCGCGTCAATGATTCATCTGCATCAACGACCGTCGCGCTTCCAGTTCGTTGAACTTTTTCGCCGACCAATCCCTCGGATTCTCTCAATTGCGATTCTGCTCCCGTTCATGAGTCAGGCCACGAGCCATCCGTCGCGATTCTTCGTTTTGCAGTCTGTCATCGGTTCTGTAATTCGTTCGGAATCTGGCTCGACTGGGGATTACTTGACCCGAGGTTTAATCTCCAACCAACGCCGCGCGATTCACGGAATCGCTGCGGCTCTTGCTTGTCGAAGGGTCATGCTCCAAAACGACCGTTTTCGATAGCTATGCGAATAGTACCAAGCCTAGGGAAGCCTAGGAAGATCCAAGTAGGCTTTAAGGACTCAGGAAGCAATAGTAAATAGGAATAATGAATCTAATGACAACAGACACCGGAACCATCACCTCCAGGAGATGCGTACACTGATTCCCTCAATCCACAAAGTGCTCGAGGCTAGACCTTTCTGATGCTAAATATTTCTCACGGCCCTGCTTTCGATTCCTGCATCGCGTATTCGTGGAATGCGCGCAAACAAGTTTAAGCGTCCGGGACCTAAGCGTCCGAGGAATGCGCGCGACAGCGGATAAGCATCTAGGTGGGCGTGATGCAGGATCCATCAGCGTTGGAGAACACAGACGAGGTTAGAGGCCGGATATAGATACATTCCGAATAACCCTATCGTATCGGGGTTGCGTCCTCGGTATAAATAAATCAATATAACCACTTCCACCCTTAGACGCCGCCCTCTTTCGCCGTAAGGAAGTGACGTATGAGACTCGTATCCAC